TTTTTTTTTTTGTACTGGGATCAAACTTGGGACCTTGTGCTTGCGAGGCAGGCAGCAGAACCACTGAGCTAAATCCCCAGCCCTACATTGAGTTTTTTTACATGGGCATTTTATGGGGGACAGGGGATCATCTTAGGGACATGCCCTTAAGCAGGTAGAGGCCAATAATAGAGTTGTCAAGTCTCGTGGTGCAAAGATTTGGGCAAAGTCATTACATGTGCAGAGTTTTGTTGTTCTTAGTTCTAGTGCCATCACGTTGACACCGTAAATGGGAAGCCTACCTACAACCAAGAAACTGAGGGTTCTGGCATCCGTGTGCACCATCCTCTTATTCCACTTTTTCTCAAAATCACTGATTACCATCTGACAGATGTATTTTTCTATGTTGCTTATCCTTATTACAATACAAGCATCATGATACTAGGTGAAGCTGATGAATGGGTTAAATAGATTAACTCTTAGTTTGTCTTACTGCACCCCCCTAATAATTAGCCAATGTAAAAAACCAAAACAAAACGAAAAACAAAACCTTGCCTGAAAAGAATAAGGGGAAACATTAAGGAACAAACAACACAAGTCATAGGACCTTCTAATCAGTAATCTCTCTACAGGCATAGAGGGACCAGGAACTCCTGGAATGTCCAGTGACTTAGGAACAACATCAAAACTATGTCAAAAGGATTGATGGCAAGTTTCTACAAGATTGACCATGCCAGTGCCTATCTAAAACTAGATTCCCCAGAAACTCCACATAAGCTTTTTGTTTGTTGCCCTTGACAAGATGGATTTTGGGGGAAAGTCCTCCATTTTCTATCTTCCAGCTTGCTGCCAATAAAGCTTTCTTCTGTTACTCTGTCTTTTGAATTACAGGCTTCCCTGGGCAGTAGAACCAGACTTCACACACACACACACACACACACACACACACACACACACACACACACAGAGAAATCTGGTATAACATGTATTTCAGAACACAGAACAGTTTGTCACATAATAGGTACTGTCACATAATTTGCTGATTCTGTCTTTTAATCTAATTAATTGTACCTGACACATGATCTACTCTTTTTTGTAAGCCATTTCAAAGTGGTTTCCAAACATATGCAACCCAAAGCAGTGTAAAATGAGTTTCGTTCTCAATCTACTGTGAAGGTGATTTCAGTCTTTAGTTCATTTCACAAAAATGAGATCTTGCTGTAACACTGTGGCACTGTGGATTCAGCTTGTACCCTTTCCAAAAAGATAACAAATGTCCCAAAGTCTGTGAGCTTCAAGAAGACAAGGACCACATTCCTTTCACCTTGGCACTCCCTTACTGTGTATGGCAGAAATTGGGGCTCGGGAAATGTTGACTTCATGGAACTCCTCCCCACCCCCATTTCTCCCCTATCTCTCTTTACCACATTTCCCATTACATTAGTGTTATTTTCTGAGTGCCAGCTCCTATTTGCCTGGCTCCACCCAGAGCTTCCTCTGTGTCAAAACATGTAAATTTATACTTTTAAAAACAAAATTGGTCACTTGTGTAATGATATGGATAATTAATGTCATTAATTTTAAAAAATAAAAAAAATCATCTACTTAAAAAAAATCAAGGGATTTTCACAGGAATAACAGATTCAAATGTCCTTAGGTTGCATCTACTACGTGTAAATTCATTTTTGGCCAAATATTTTATCTCCCTTCTTTGATAAATGCCAACGGCTTGTAAGTCCTGACCAATCTGGCATAATGGCCACGTCTCCAAATGATGCACAAATAAAACTGTCCTTAGAACTGACAAAGTTCAAGAGGTACGATACACCCACTTACAAGCATATTATAAAAGAGCAGTTGTATATCTTGCCACTCACTGTCTCTCACATCTCTACAAATGTAAGCAGCTTTCTGCATTGTGCTGACTCACAGGCAGATAGCTACATCGTAAGGTTCGGAAAGGATCTCCAAGCTGAGCTTTTAACGGGAAAGCCCCGGCACCGGACTCCATTTAAGAGCCCGAGGCCTTCCTCATCGATTAAAACCAAGCTGTCCCCAGTGGGGGCGCAACAGGAAAGCCTCAAGGACTTCTGTCTAAAGGAGTTCAAGTACCATGGCTTCGCACGCGGGTGGCCTCCTTTGCTTTTTGCCTGTGAGGTCCCACCTGGGCGGAGGTGACAATTCGGTATAGGGAATCTCGCCTTTTAAGGATGGCATTTTCAAGGGCGAGGCAGGAACTGTTTCAGGTCAGAGCTTTTAGCAGGTACGGAAGGAAGGAAGGAGCTGGAGCCCTCCCTCCCTCGCTCTCCGCCCGGCCCCACACACCCCGGGTCCTGCAGGAGCCAGGAGCAGCAATCGCCCCTCCGGGAGCGATGTCCCA